CCACAGCAACTAGATCCCAGTCTTCCTTTGTTTGCTGTATTGTGATACTTGTTCTTTTAGCCTTTTCTTTCTAAACAGCTATTTTATTGAGCTTGTAGATGTGATCAGGACAGTGGGTTCCAAAGCACTAATAAGGTATTTTGGATAATATTCAGTTTAGCTTTAAGGTATCCTTCCTGCCTTTCATCAGAAAGTTAGCTTTCTTTTGCTTCCTCAAGAAGATCATGATTACAAAAGGGATCACCGCTCCCAGTCGGAGAACATACTTCCCATACTTAGCCAGACAGATCCCTGGGTTTCTGTCCAGGTAATTTTTACATGCTGGGTGGAAGAAGGGCCATTAAGTAGTCTAAGAGCCCTCAACAAAAGGAAGTAAGTATTGAAGCTTAACTATAAAAGTATTGAAGCTTAACTATAATTTAATCGTTGCCAACAACAAATTGTTATTTACAATGTAACCAGACAAAGGAGGAACTTGCTGTATCACATAAAAAAAAGGAGAGGGAAAAAAAGGAATATATCACCATGCTATAGCTTCCATCTGTTCAGACATGGAAGGAGGTCTTTGCATGACATTTAGAACAAACATGATATTTGTTTATCCAAAACAGAGACTATCAAATTGTGCAGCCCATTCCTCAGGCACATCTTGCTGAGAGTGCCTTAGCTGCAGGATACTGCTCTGAAGGTGACCTCATTCTGAAAGCTGAATCCAAATGAATATAAAAATATTTGCTTATTGAAATGTGTTGTAGCAGTTTTCAAAAAGTGACCTAGTGAGACTTGCAGCCGAGGAAAAAAGGTTTATTTTAGTTACTGCTCAGCTTGGTATATTATGCATCAACCCAGGGATCCTTCTACTAAGGCTCTCAAATTGTTTTAGGAAAAAGCAGAATGAATAAAATACATACATATTACTTCCACAGAACTGTTTTTCTCTTAGTTATATCAGGATAAATTCAGAGTAAGTCTAATGAAGTCAATGGTTTTCTAATAGTGTAAAAGCGAACAAATCAAGCTCTGAAGCTTCTCATGTTTTATTTGCCAAGTGTTTTCATGTTATGCTGGCAAATGGACAGTGACAGGATGTACAGGTTTTGGGACCCCTTTGGCAGGCACCAAAGAAGCCCTATTATGCCCCATGACAATACAGCCATTTGCAAATGCTACCAGAACTGGACTTCCTAGCCAGATGCAGAGCAGTTCCTCTCACTGCTTTGTTGTCCTCCCATGCTTACTTGCTAAATCGTAAGGAAAAAGGCATGCTGGACATTTTCTTGAGGCGGCAACTGGGGTTGAATGAGATTTTTTTCACTAAAACCCAAATATGAAGGAAAAACATTAAATAAAAGTTACAAACAACCATCATCCACTCTTTTCCATGGCTTGAACATGGGCTTGAGCTCTTTCCAAACTCCCACAATGCCCAGTATCATGGCTGTTTTTTTCAGTCAGAACAGATAATTTTCTTTTGGAGATAAGCTTTCAACTTTACATTAAATTACTTGCATTATTTCTTAACAGCTTCTACGTTTGCTGAAAGAATAGTAATTTGTCATATTTAACTTCATTTGTGCTTAATGAATTAGAGAGCCAGATCCAGAAAAGACCTTCAGCACCTTAAATGCATCTTCTGGAAAAGCTGGGTTCCCAAATCTGTTTTCAGTCCCGAAAGCACCCTCTGAATTGTCATTTCACATGAGGGTGCTGACACTTCCAAGCCACCTCCCTTTAGAGGTCAGAAAGTCCTTGCTCCCAGGCTGCCCCTCCAGCCACAAAGGGGAGCCAGCAGATCAGCAGAGCTGCCTGGAGGCTTCAGTGGAAGAGCAGTAGTTTATCCCTCAATAATGTAATTAAATTATCCTTCAATAATTAAAGTACATATCCCTCAATATGTAATACATACATAGGACACTGCTTCTGGCTAAAGTCAGCTGTGGCTGCCGCTTTCTTCTAAGACAGCTACAGGAGATGTAAGCACCCACTTTAAGACAAGCCTATCAGCTGGAGAAACTGGTTGCAACTGTTCCCCTTTAGTCCCCTTTAGTGTCCTAAATGACTCAGCACAGGTACGTTCACTGCTGGTTTTGAACCATGCAGGAAAGCAAAAGAACAGCCACATGAGAAATAAGTATGAGCGCGATTGAGACCAAATGGTTACAGACGGTATGAAGAAGAAAATGCTAAGCTTGGTTTCTCCTTGAAGCATTCAAACAGCTGGAATACATCCCAATGCCACCCTTTAAGGTTTCCCGCAACATCCCCCTTGTAATAACCTTGTTTTCCCCTGCCTCATGTGATTTCATGTGACCCATATCCCTACAGCATCTCCATTCCTCATGAGCAAGATGAGAAGCATCGCAAGCTACCGATGGGCGAAATTGTTGCACAAAGAACCCTGTCAGATGGCTACTCACAAAGTGAACAGAAAATTGTAGTCCTACAAGGAGGAAGAGTCCTAAACTAGTTCTCATAGCAAGGGAAGAGACTTCAGTGCTGCCTGAGCTGTCTTCAAGGCTCCTCTCTTCTGTCAGCATTGTCTGAATCTGGTCAACAAGGCTCGGAAGTTATTGTAGGGAATTGCAGCAGCTTGCTTGCTTGCTTACCCTTGTACAAAACCTCACATCACCTAAACAATGCCAAACCACTCATGATCAGCAAGACCTTTTCTGTGTTATTACTTGAGACAATATAGCACAACTGATGATCTTCATCACATCAAAGAATGCCTGTAGCTCATCCTTGTTCTGTGCACCTTGGACATGGTCCTTCCTCATTCAGCCCTCCATTCTTTCCCCAAGTGAAGTTAGAATGGGGATTCAAGAGAAAGGCTGAAAGGGTGGGGATTGTGAGCATTAACTCTTGTTAGCATATCTGGGCATCAGCTTATCACCTGCTGTTAGTGTACTGAAACACAGAACAAAGCTGCATTTCTGTAAGAGACATTGGGTGCAAAATTGGACAGAAGAGCGTCAGATTGCAGTTATTCCATTCTTTCACACAAAATGTGAAATAACATGTTAACTGCCTTCTGGGCATACAGTAAGCTTCCATTAAAATAATCACCATATGGCTCTTTTTGGGACATGGTAACTTTCATGTTATTTCACAATCCATTCAGATGAACAATTTCACAATGGACCCTACAGGACCTTGAAAGGATTTTATCAGGTTAATGGATTAAGGCTTTGATAGAGATTCTAAGGAAAAAGCAGGTGGAAACAACAGCTCACACAGTGCCTCTGCAGAGTGATTACTGGGCTGTATTCTCTGTTCAAATGGGAAAAGGAAATCCCTTGAAATAAAAATCTGGTTGCTGCTGATTAGCTGACAAGAAGGAAATTCAACACTACACACATAAGCTATACACTCTATATGTGCTACCAATAGATCCATCATGTCAGCAATTCATTTCCTTATGGTAGGCATGGGTTTGGAGAGGAATTCATTAAGAGCCAAATAAATTAATAGCAAAGTATCCCCTGCCTTGCATGATTTTCTATATACATAGTTTACAAGTCTAATTTTGGGTTATTTTTTATATTTATCCATTCCTCACTTTACTGCATTATACAGTCAGGGATCCAAATAGTTTGCTTTTTCCTGCTATCAGCATAAGACTTACATCAGTTTCTCCAGCTGCAGAAATACTGGAGTAAGAATATTCTCTATGGAACACATTTCCAAATCTTTGAGTGGTTCCAGTTGTACCAGGAGCTTAGTACAAGGATTAAGGGCATGCAAGATTAAGGGTGAACTCTGGTTAACATTCACCTAAAACATCATTATAGGTTAGGGTTTTTTTAAGCAGTCTATATTATCTCTTTTTCCTCCAGTTTTACCCCTTGCAGAGACTTTGAAATGCATTGTCTGTTGGAGGACTCCAGTTGTACTGGTGATGGTACGTTAGGTGGCAAGTCCCATGAAGCACGCTAATATGCACTAATCTTTTAATGATGATGAATATTTGACTTTTTATAATAGGGGTATTTTTTTTTTCTGTAAAGAGGTTTTCCACAAAAAAAAAATCATCACAATGGCTGTCACAAGTAAGCTTCCCTCCCCTTTGAAAGAACTGACTGTAGTGGAAAAGATAATTACTTAGTTCCTTTATCTCCAAATTATTTGTAATAAAACCCGAAATCGCACCACAAGGTCTTTCATGAGGATGTCATAAATTAAGATGCATCGATGTATTTGGTGCATCTGTTCAGCTCTGTGCTCCTTTGTCTTCTGCAAATAGCGCAGCAGCTTCAATACCCAGCAGACAGCATTTACGCAAATGATGTCGTGGTCTGTATCATTAATATTCAGCGATTGTCTGTCATAGACACCTTACTGTACATCTGTTATGCAAATTTATGTTAATTTTTGCTCACTGACAGCTGCCTTGGTTCCCTCCCTAAAATGATCTTTTCCATTTTGAAGTTTGCAATCTGTTCCCAAAAATGTTAATCTAACAATTAACTGAAATTGCTAAACAGAAATTTTACATGTTATGTCCAAAATAGAAACCAGTGTTTTTAAATAGATGGTGAATCTTCTTTTCACATCATTTGTTTTATATGCGATTCAGAGAAGGGTAAACATTGATCTTTGCACAGCCTGTGTTGGGATAAGTGACAATCTCCCTATACAGTAATAGGTTTTGCAGGAAATGATGCCATCTTGTTTTCACATAGGCTATGGGCATAACATAAAACTGACTTTCCCATTAAAAATGCTCTTTGTACAATCGCTTTTCTATTTAGACTTTTTGAAACAGAGAGGCAACTCTTTATTAATATGTTATTCATTTAAATCTTTGATATTGAGTAATACGACCACATTTCAAATAAAGACAGCACTTAAAACATGTTTCAGAGCAACTAAAACATGAGCATAATGTATCAGGAAAAGTAAGATATGGAGGTCTTGGAAGCTAAGTTCAGATTGCTGAGGCAAATGCTTTGACCCAGTATGCCCCCAACCAGGTTTTTGCTTCCAGAGTCAGGAACCAGATAAGTTACACCAGGTATCCTGCAAAGAACCAGTGGGCATGTGGGCAGATGGTGTACAGGAGAAGGTTTAAGTCTGTTAGACATTAAGCGAGGTACATGAGGAGAGCCTAGACAGAAAAACAGTCTTCACCTTAAACCAAAGTGCAACTAGATTGCTGGCACAGAGTGTTTACATGTTCCAGGGCATTACTTAGATCTAGAGCGAGTGAAACTGACAGGAGCCAAGGGAGAGCTTTGGTCAGACACACACCTGCAAGAGATGTCAGAAACACCAGGGTAGCTCCTTGTCTCAGAGAGGACAGCTCTTAAACTGGGAATGAAATGGAGAGAGACAAGTTGCAGTTGCAGACCAGGCTGTTAGGGGAGGGAATTGAATAAGAGCAGGCATATTGCCCATATTGATAAAGAAGCCCTTGAGTGTCCATACACTGAGGCCAACGGCTTCAAAGCAGAAACCTCTTAACTACATTTCCTGATGGTGTAAAATATGGCCATGATTTTTTAGAAACCTATGTGCAAATCTGAATTAGACAGAATAATAGAGAACCTGACTATAAACCACAGATGAAGACAGGCTGAAAGAAGTTAAGTTATAAACATTAGAAACAGCATTACAGCACACCATAGATTCAGTATCAGTCTTCACCACAGAAAATACAGTCAAGATACCTATCCAAGCCCTACCCTTATCAGGAAATAAAGAGCATGCTATGTCAGGCTGAGCTGTCAAAATAAGAAGAGTAGGAAAATTAAACTGATAAATTAAAGAGCAGCATGTCACCTGACTGATGGCATCCCTCCAGGAGATCTCTTAGAAGCATAGCTGCTGTTTCTAACAAAGAATACAGAATAGTTCATTAAAAAATACAGAATTGCAGGGTAGCAAACACTGCCCTTTCCTTCCAAAAAGAGAAACAGGGGAATTCTCAGTTACAAGCTACAAATCCTCAGAAAAGTTTTTGGAACAACTCATTATGACAAAAGTACAAAATCACCAAAATAAGAACATTATGAGGCCAAGCTAGCAGAGCTTTTGTTAAGGAAAATTGTTCTTCTCTAGTCTATTGTAATGCATCAACAGTGTTAAACAATGGATGATGAAGACCATTTTGTAAATAAGTTCACTTGAAAGCCCAAGTATTTAATTGAAAAACTATTTCCTGAGGAACCAATTAGGAAAACAAAGGAATCATGTAAGAAGAGTGAATATTCTGATGTAGTTCAGAAAGTGATTTGACAAAGCTGCAGCAAAAAGTATATAACTTACTCCTAAATTTGAAACTCATAATGAAATATTGCTGAGCTATTTCTGAAGCTGCAATTAATAAGAGAGATTGTTTGGAAAAGGGCTAAACAGCCATATCAGTATTTGCTGGTGACAACACTTTGTTTAGATGTCCAGACAAAAGAAAGTGCTTGACACTTCGGAAAGCCTTTAAAATAAATAACAAGGCAGCACTTGAAAAACAAATTCAATGTGAAGTACAAGATAAATTTAGGGACATGGGATACTAGATTTCAAGGAAGCTCCTGAGGCATCAGATTCTACTGTTTGCTGTTACAGGCAACCACATCATATAACTTCATACAGTTTATCAAGTTCCAGTTTTTGTTCTAATCAGAATGATCATACACAGTTTTGATAAACAATCTTGGAATAAAATTTTAATTGTTTATAGGAACATTCAAGCATATTACAAGCTACTATGAAACAATGATTAAAAAGAATTAAAACTTCCTTTGACTCTAGTGTTTAATGTCTTTTAATTAACTTTATAAAGTGGAGCTTGAAATATATCTCAAATAATATTATATTATCCTAGTGTAGGGAAAACCCCTACACAAAGAGATATATATGTATATATATATATCAGCTAATATTGGGGATGAGGCATTTTACAATCATTCCCTTTTTTATTTTTCGGCACCAGCAGAGAATGGAAGAGCCCTTCCTGTGGTTATCTCCATGCGGCCTTCTGTGCCTTAATGTATTTCAGCACTTCAGCCTTCATAAATACTTTTTCTAATTACAATAGCCTGAAATACCCTCCTATAGAAGTTTTGGTTGGTTGGTTTAATTACAGAAAACTGGCATGGTGGACAGGAGAGCACACTAAAGATTGTCTATCTAACACCACTTGTAATGTTGGAGTAAAGCAGTGGGATGACAGCAGGACAGTGGCGCAGGCAGAAAGCTATTAGGAGCAGTAGATGAGCCCAGGGTTACCGGCACCCCAGCAAACATATCCCTGCCTGCTGGATGCTATTCCTCAGTCCCAAAGATCAGGGCTCTGCCTCTGCTGTTTTAGCTTAGTTTTGAACTTATTTCAAACATCCTAAGTCCAGAGAGGTTGTTAGTAAGTTGAGGTCCACAGAGAGATATAGCTTTCATTGTTTGAAACAGTTCAGTCACAGTAGCTCGAAGAAAAATGCCAAAGAGCAGCTACAACATTACTAATCTCAGAGTTTAAATCTGATATCTCCTTGGTGACCAGATCTTCTAAAACTTATTTCCCCTTGATATTATAATTAGATGATGCTTTTGTTTTGTTGTTTTTTTTTTTTTTTTAAATACAACATTTTACCATCATTTGCCCAAATCTTTTCTAAGGAAACAGAATGTGATAAATTGCTTTTTTTAGTGTCCTTAAATCTTGGCAATATTTTTGTACCATGTAAAACTCAAATTGTAGACTATATCCTCAGCAGGAGCTCAAAAGCTATGCCAGGAATTTCCACCTATAGAAGTGAGCTGAGACAAAGATGATTTTGCCATTTTGATTTTCTCCTTTCCATTTTGAAATAGAAACCCTATTTCAGTGTCTCCTGGTTAAAAAAAAAAAAAAAAGCTGTCAGAAAGTTGTGACAGACTGATAAGGGTATTTTAATTCCAGAAAACAAATGCTGTAGTCTAGTTCTCAAGTTTCTGAACATATTTTTTATATAGACAAAATAAGTTTTTACAGAAATGGAGCCTTAATATGAAATAAATCAAAACATTGTTCCAGAACTGGTGAAACATCTTAATCACATTTTAAAAGTGTTTCTTCCAGACTAATTTTAAAATTTTTAATGAACCATACTTCATTTGAAGTGGTGGAAGAGAATTTCAGAGGTGCCTTTAACAGTAGATTCCTGAACAGCCCTTTCCTGAGCTCTGATGCGCAAGACACTGGATTTTAACTGTCTGTAACCAAAATGGTGAGTCTGACTGAACAGAACTCACCCTATACCCAACTCTTCACACATGCTTTGTATACAAATACCATTCAAAGATAAAGCATAGTAGCTTTCTAGGTCTTACGTATCAGAGAAACGCAGCAAAAGCCTACCCAAAAGCACAGAGATGGGCAGCAGTTCTCCAAAGGACCAGACTGGTATGATGGCTGTTTTGCAACTCACTGCTTCTGCACTAGGCAGCGCACAATTCCTGCTCACCATTGGTGTCTCCCAGTACCCCTCACCGCTGCACAGACAGTTTCTTCCTGCTGCCACCCTGTTATTGCACAGTGGTTTTTGGAGATGATATCTGCAGCCACAAGGACAAAGGGGGCTTGTCTGTTTTAGGAATGCTGCTGAACCAGACAAAACCACTGTTATTTTCACTGTAACTTCTTTATCTTGACATCTACCTCACCAAGACAGAAAACAAGCCTAAAAAAGAGAGACTTAATTATATTTCTTATTTCTGACAGTCACTAGTGCAATAACATTCTCTCCCACATAGGTCACAGAAAATAAGATTGGAGGGATCTGAGAAGATTGGAAGTCTGATAAATTATTCACAAGAGAAGCACTGAGGTTCACTTGTGGAGCTGAATTTTTTCATGGGACTGAGTGACTTTCATCAGTCATTTTATTGACCAGTGTAGAAAAATGCAAGTTAATGCACATGGGAATACCCCCCATCAAAACATAAAACCTGCTCCAGCACCACAACTCTGACTGTTGCTAAATCAGTAATGGGATCTTGGAGTTATAATGAGTAATTTTGTAGATCTGTCACCTCACTGCTTAATAGTGATCAAACAAGCCAGCTAAATACTAAGAGTCATTAGGAGACAAGTAACAAGAAGACAGAGGGTATCGTGATCCTACTGAATAAATCTGTAGTTTGCCTGCATCTCAGGTATCATGTTTTACACTTGGCTTCAGTTCTGAAAACGTAAAAAGATGACTGTAAAACCAGGAAATGTTCTGAAAAGAGCATAATGAAAAATCACTTTTGTGTAAGGAATGGCTGAATAAACTACAGACTGCAGACTGTAATAATGTGTACAGTCATTACTGGCATGGGTGTTTAGGAAGTGACTGTTTACTCTCTATTCTATTGCAAGAGGTCAGGACAAAGACAAGCTGGATTGAACACAACGGAGGTAGTTAGCAAATTAGTCCTCAGAGAAGCCACATTTGGTTCAGAAAGCCTTTGAGCTGAAGTTGGAAAATAAAACGGTGGCTAGGGAGGACATGGCAGCAGCATATGCATGCATCCTGCTGCCCTCTAGGTCATCTATTTCTTTTAAATGCAGACACAAGATATTAAGGAATAGAAACCTTCCCTTGAGGCTTAGGCACTCAGATAAATAAGACTTCCATGTTGTCCACAGGAAAAATGAATTAGTGTTCAAATTAGGGTGCAACCCCCCAAACAAAAAACTCAATATATTTTGCAGTTTTCAGCCCTAAATAGACCACAAAACATGCCTAAAAATAATCAGCCAAGCTTACCTTCAAAGGCAGGGCTCTCTTCCTGATATAAGAAAAAAACAGCTCTTTACCTACTGTTCAGAAAGTCCCAGCACAAAGTAAGCCCTCAGCCTGCCTTCACTCCCCACCTTTATAGGCTGCAGCTCTGATCTGTGACCAACCAAAGGCTGAAAAGCACCATCCCAAATGAAAAACATTTAGGCTACAGGGTCATCACGCAACCCATTTCAACTGAGAAAAGGACCCCCTGAACTTGTGGTACTCTTGGGAACTTCTCCCAGTTCCTGCAGTGCCTCTACCTCATACATCACCCCAATTTTTCCAAATACAAGTGTTTATTAGACTGTGACTTCAGCTACAGGAAAATTAAAGTCACGTGTTTCAAAAGAGATTTAGGAACTTAGTAGCTAGAGGTAATGTAGAAAACAAAAACATGGAGGTTGCTAATAAATGATGATCTAAGAGAGAGTTTTGATCACTAGCTTTCATTCATCTATTCCTTTCAGTCCCACTTAATTTAAACCAGTGAACTAACTGCACATTTCTTGTATTAAGATAAAACTGCTGCTAGTCTAACAGCTGTCAGTGAATCTTGAACCTCTGCTACATGTATTTAATTGTTCTGCTCCTTTAAAAATGCTACAGTGATAAAAGAAAAATAGAGACAAAATGAAACTGGAATAATTAACTATTGTGTGGCTGGGATATGGAATAGGTTAAATTTGTGAGTGTGCATAGGCTGGTACTTCCAGAGATCTTACTGAAAATGATGCTATACCAGAAGTAATATCAAGGGGAAAATGACACAAGATGACTCAATAGCAAGTTATGAGTACCTGCGGAGGACACATCACAAATGGTGAACTTTTTGTGGCTTTGACTGCAATAATTAAGATGATTCATGGAAAAGGATGCCTCTAATATCAGAATAATGTACCTTTAGAAGGTCATTTTGAGTGGGTTTTTTATAGGCTTAAAACAATAAAACAACTCCCTAGACTCACTGGAAAAACTTCCATTAACCTGCATAGAAGAAAAAGTCAAGCTCACAGTTGAGTAGGAATAAGTGCCATTTTGATCTAGCTAATACGAGGGTATACAAAGCATAAATTGAGCTAATTTAGATGTGCAGAAGCATATGTAAGTTTAGAATTTTGCTGAGCAATTTTTATTAAAACGAAGTCTTTCTCAAATGCCAAATATTCCTTGGGAATAAATAGAGGTGTCAATGAAAAGAACAAGAAAACCCAGATAAACTTTAAGATGAATTACTTAAGCAGGTGTGTAGGTTAGAGAAATTCACAAAGAAATTCTGCCTGTGACAAGGCATGTATTCACTTTGTGAACTGCCTGGGTTTCTCTTTGGTCTTTGTTTTCCATTAATTCTAGTAAAGGAAGTTATTTTAGCAAACCAAAGAAAAATACGAATTTAAGAAAAAACGGTACCCCTGAAAAGCAAATTTTCGGTGTTTGGGGACTTGTACCAAGATGTATATCCTATGAGCTGTGTTCAGGACTTGGGAGAGGTAGATCTTTGCCAGGCTCTGCCTTTGTGAAGAACATAGCACACTCTAGTCATGTGCGTGCTCCTCATGCACTGCAGTTTTCATGAAACTCATCAAACTTACAGCTAAAGTAAAATGACTGAATCCAAGGTTTAATGCGCATGTCTTGTACATTTCCATCGCATCATATTTACACTGAAAAGGTCATGAGCTGAACTGTGTAAAACGTAGCGGATCCAGTGTTGTGAATCATCGTACTGTTGGTTGTTCATTTTTACATATGAATACACTGAGCTTTTGTCCACTGTGTTTTAATACAAGCCTTGGGATAACACCTAGTTGGCACCCTGTCTACCGAGCCAAGGTATGCTGCAATAAGAAGTACACTCATTTATTCCCAGGACTTTTTGGTTAATTCATCATTCTGTGAGGAGCAAATAAACATTTTCACGAGGAGATCTGCAATCTACTTCATTCTGCAAATTTTGAGGCTTAGTTCTCCATGGTACTGGTAGCTTCAGTCTCCCAAGTAGACCGATTCAGGCAGCCCTACAGGAAGTAACATGGAATGGGATTACTGAAATTATCTTCTTGAAGGTGTTTTCCCCACCCTGTATTGGCACTGAGAGTTATAATGAATTTTCAGTGTTTTCCTAGCGCTTATTACTATGACACCCAAACACCTGGGTACAGGGAGTATGCACTTTGATCTGGCTGGCTAGTGTAAGGCAATTCTTCCTGTAAAATCAAACTGCCAAGGTGGGCAGTCTCTGCCATATGGTTGGATTTTTATTACTATTATTTTACTGCCTGACATCAGGACCTCTATATTCTCTGTAATTGACTTTGTTCTATTGACAGCTGCTGCAACCATTGTGCATAACTATTGGAAAACAAATTTGAAGTGAAAACTCTCACAAAATCAGAATGTAGTAAAATTTCTTTAGAGGACTTCAATAAGCATTGCTTTTGTAAAATTGTTGTGATTCTGGGGTAAACCTGCAAGGTAAAATCCAGCTACACACAGTCTATGTGACCCTTTGGTTACAGTGTGAAGACAATTACAACCTGGATCCAATTCTGGAGAGGCATCCACCAGATAAGCCATGCAAATAAGCCTTGTCTTGCACAAGGAGTCTTTCTACTGTTGACTCTATTTACTGTCACTGTAACATTATCCATCATGCTGTAGAAAGTGTCAGACATAAAAATAAAGTGGAAATCTATAAAACTGGTTTCGAGCCAGTAAAAAAATATCCATTTTGTGGCAGCCTTTATTAATCCTATTAACTGTGATATTTTGGAATATGTAGGATTTCAGAAGACTCATAATGCAGGCAGTGTTTGGATTAAAAAAGGCACATAGAAATCCCACAAATGTGTATGCAGGGAAACTTAAAGACATGACTCAGTGGCTGACATCCAGTTGTGTCAAAGCTGCGATAGTTGAGAGGGCTATTCAGTCTTGTTGAGCTGGTTATCTTCTCCATGGCACCACCATGGGAAATTTTAATGTTGCCGTTTAGAGACGTAGCTTCACACAGTTGACAAAGTATTGTACAAATTGTGTTAAACACCCTTTGAAATGCTTTTCCTGTTATCAGAATAATTTTTATCTTTTTACTTTATTTGTTAGATTTAGATTTACTATTTTTCCTAAGTAATTGTGTGACCTGTAACTGACCTGGAGGGTATAGAATTAAATATTTTACAGTAAGAAATTCTTAAGGAAAAGAAAAAAGTATTCTCTCTTTGGCAATGTCCTTAGCTCTAAGGATATACAATGAACTAAAAGTCTGACTGTGAACCTTTTCTTCCCTCTGGGGAACATTTTTTCACATAAGTAAACACATTTATTTACACTGGAAGTACACTAAAGGTTTCGAAGGCAAGTGTCAGGTAAGAGCAGTTCAGTTGGAGCTGCACATAAGACAACGGGCTGTGAACTGTGGTTTATTAATTCATTCTGGCAATGTGACCCAGTAAGTGCAAAATAACAGTAATGTGAAATATGGTACACAAAATGTGAATAACAGCAATTATGCTAACTGTGAATCTAATCTTTGAGAAAGCTGCAATGAGGGATGCTCAGCATCCCAGGACGTGTGCGGTTAACCTCAGCTAACTGGGTTAATCTCCCTGTGCTCTCTGTTATGCCTATGGGAAAGGACAAGCTCATTCAGACTATTATTTTAGAACAGAAGCCTAACTTTACTGATTTTTACTTACTCTTCAGGACTCTCTGTGTCTGTCTCTCCCTCTCTTTCCACATATTGCAGGAGGACACTTAGACTGTCTTAGAAAAGTGGCTCTTGTAAATAATCATCTTAGTACTGTGGTGGAAAGTAAGTTTCAGTACATAAATTAATATAAGTTGTGTATGAATTTACATGTTGAATGCCAAGATATATAGATATATATAGAAAAGTCTTCTGAAGAATTTTTACTACAACATCTACATTGCCACCAGTAATGCAAAAGAGGATGCGAATGAAGCAGATGTTTGGTAGATTTGCTTGTTGGCAAATAAGCAAATAAACAAATCAATATCCACTGCATTGGGAAGTTCAAAATAACTGTATCAGGACAGAGAAAAAGTCCAAAGGACCAGGCAGGAGGTTGTCACAGGCTGCCCGTGGCTGTCCAGTGCCAGCGCTACTGTGACCTGGGATTTGGCTTGGGCCAACTAGTGCTGCCCCACAGCACGCCCAGGCAATGCTGAAACCCAGGGAAGGTACTCAGAAGCCACCCTATTCTGTGATGGTCAAAGTGCCAACCATGCAGAGAAGTTATATCAGGCTGTTTGTCATATGGGGCAGAAGATAACCTGTGACCTGCTTTACCTAATACTTAAAACCAGCCTGTCTTGACAAGACTGCAGCATGGCTGCCTAATGTGATACTAATTTCCATCCCTATGACAGTTTCCATGTCCATCTTCACAGGCAATATGGACTCCTGCTTCAAAACTGCTATACACAGGTTCACCACAAACATGAAATAAAACCTCCTAACCAATACCTCAGTCCCAGCCTTGCCACAGGCATGTTTCGCTGGCATAATGACTGAATTATTCCCTTGTCATTGATATATTCCTATTAATAACATTCTGCTCTAACAAACAGCTGTATTTTATTGCCATGATTTGTGGCTTTATTGCAGTCTTTAAAAATATGAACTGAAACACTCACTCCAGGAGTGGTCAAAAAATATTACTACTTCAATACAATATTGCAGGTAGTAAATCCTTTCACATATGAAAATTAATCCCTCTGCTTGTTTAGAAAGACACATATTACAGAATAAAACCACAACTGTAAGTGATAAGAAAATCTCCACAAACGAAAAATGAAAATCTCTGCTTCCCTGTTTTCAACTGATAGCAGAGGTACCTGGTGCAAGGAAATCTGCTGCTTGCATAGAAATATCAACCACAGTTGAGATGACATTGCTGGGATACCGCATATCAGCAGAGAGAGGAAGAAGAATCTTCATTAGCAGCATCTCAATTAAATGGAATATGCAGGTTTGATCCTGGGAATGTTGACTTCACTTGTGATATTTGCACTCTATGGACTTGAGAGAGAAAGGCAAGTCCAGTCTGAGCTCCCAGCCACTGACAATAGCTCTGATCTCCTGATGGAGAAAAACTTTTTCAGAGGAAGCAAAGCTTGCCTGGGCAAGGACTTCCCTGAAGC